TATTGATCTGTGAGAAAGTGAATTCATAAGTGATAGTTATTATATACATTATTCAATTTATATATATATATATATATATATATATATATATATATTATATTATATTATATATTATATATTATAATATTATTTATATTATATATTATATTATATATTTATATTTATATATATTAATTGAGAGTGTGTATTTTATTTAATTCACTCACACCCTAAACGGCAGAATTTCTTCTGTTTCTCTTTTCCCACCCACTTAACCGACCGTGTTCTTGCGATTTTTCAGAATGCTGGCAACTCGTGATAAAAAGCGTAAACGTACCGGCGACGGTGAAGGCCGACGACACCGATTACGTGATCCTGGACTGCGACTACGATCTCGAGAACACGCCGAGCAAGGGATTAGTCGTGAAATGGTTCTTCAACACCAACGAAGTGGCTTACCAATGGATATACGGCAGGGAGCCTTTGGCCGGGGATACCGCGCGGAAGTACATCGACCTGAAGTACAAAGCCAGCGACGATCCGTACACCAAGTACCGAGCCATGAAATTGAATAAGCCCGGTATCGATCTTACCGGCGAGTACACGTGCGTCATATTCACTTTCGCGGACGAGCAGTCCGCAAGCGCCTCCATGGTCGTGTATTGTAAGTATCCTCGCTATTTACGGCCAACCGCCCATTGATTTACGATCCTTTATGCCGATTTGTGCCGAACAGAAAACACGGCAGGTCCAATTATCCTTTCCAACCGGCGCGCGCCCCGTAGTTTCGCCGATTTTTTTCTTTTTTTCTTCCTTTTTTCGCCGCGTTCTTTTTTTTTTTTTATTTTCTTCTTTTATTAACCACGCCATTCACAGCGATCTCGCGGATCTCTTATCCCCGAATATACCTGTCTCGCGTCGACGATGAATGATCGCGCTTTTGTCTTTCGTTTTCGACTCTTCGAAACGTGCTCCCTTGCCGTGTCTCGCCAAGACACTTTCACACCGTGTGCAAAGGATCGCGATATTAATCGCTTGCGCTGGAATGGACGTGTGTCTGTGTCGAGAATCTTTTGTCTCAAAAAGTTGTAAATATTTTCTCAGCTTTAAGTGTATCTAAGTATGACCCAGGCGAAACAAATAATAAATTTATTACTTCTCAATCGTTTCTATCGTACCCGACGTGTTCAAAGAGACAGCGACCGAATTATCGTGTACGGTTCGGTCACTCGTTATGGTCCGCAATCAGTTGCCAGCGCAATTGGTTAATTTCTGTCACGCACGTCGAGAATTTTTTGTCCCAAAATTGCAATATTTTCTCAGTTTTAAGTATATTTATATATAGCTCAAGCAGAGGAAATAATAAATTTATTATTTCTCAGTATTTTCTGTTCAGTAATATCATACCGACGATATCGTGTACGGTTCGGTCACTCGTTATGGTCCGCAATCAGTTGCCAGCGCAAATGGTTAACCTCTTGCTCTGGAATGACGCGCAAAATTGCAACATTTTCTCAGTTTTAAGTTTCAAGTATATTTAAATATAACCGAAACAAAGGCCAAACAAATAATTAAGTTTATTACTTCCTAATAATCTCTATCTGCAGTGATATCATACAGACGAAGAGTTCGAAAAGAAAGCGACGAATTATTGTATATACGGTTCGGTCACTCGTTATGGTCCGCAATCAGTTGCCAGCGCAAGTGGTTAATCCGCGACTTCGTAAAGATTAAACAAGAATTATGTTCCCGTCTTTCCAGCTGACTCGACCGCAAATATTGAATCCTGAGGATCGCAATATCGACGTCAACAATGCGGCACCGAAATGTCAGCTTTCAGCTGAGATTATTAATATAATCCACGGATTATCGATACTTCTTTTATTTTCTTTTTTCCTTTCTTCTTTTTTTTTTTTTTCTTTTTCCTTTTGGCGGATATGAAATCAGGATTGCCGATAGTGTTGAGTCAGGGGGTAGTTTCGCTCCCCTCTCTCTCTCTCTCTCTCTCTCTCTCTCTCTGTGCTGTCTCTTTTCCTCTTTTTCGGCCACCATTCTCCCGGAGGGATCGATTGTTCCTTGAGGAACCGTTTAAAATGTTTCAAAGAGGAATCGAGCTGGTCGGTCACGTTCCCTCGGCGAGCAGAATATTATCGATAAAGAACGACGTAATTTCTCTTTTGCCTGTTGTCATTCGAAGAAGGGGTTGGTAATTTTCGGAGTGATTTAGGACGCGATGGTGGCAGACGAGAGGATAGAATCGGGAGCACAGATTCCGATATCCGTTTCACCGAGAATATTGTCCAGTCAATATCGGGTATCAGAAAGCATCGTTCAAGAGACGGTGCGACGTAAGACACGATTAGACAGAGAGCAGTCTATTAAAAAGTTTTCGGGCACGGGAAAAATTTATGGTTGTCTCAGAAGGCAATTCCAATAAAGATGGACCGTTAGGTGTAATATAAGGTGATTTGAGCAATGACGAGCCACTCGGTATAACAATTTAACATTTAAAAATTATATTATGTCCGTAAGATCTTAATTATTTCTACTTCTATCGTTCGTTTAATATTTTAATATTTTAAAGAACATTATATTGCACCTTTTTAACAGAAATGGTCTGCCAAAACTGCCAAAATTGTAGAAATGAACGACAATATAATTTTTCATACAAATCTCACGGATTTTGGAGAGATTTTAAACGATTTTTTGTAAAAATGTATAAATAAAAGCTTTTGTACTTTATTGTATTACAAGGTTATTCCTTTTTTTTTTTTTTATTTTAGTTTTTTCTCTGATGGAAATTTTATGCTTCAATCGCTGGTAGTTTTAGTGTTAAAAACATAATGGGTTTTGGAACAGGTTTTTCTGCACGAATGTACACTTGATCCAAACAGCGAGAATATACCAGACTGTTTACGAAATGAAACGGAAAATCAGATTGTCTTTAATTTTCTTGAAAAATATTCCTTTCGTCGCGAGCAATGCTTATTAACGTCAAATTTATCCTATCAAAAACGATAGACCAGTAACGAACTGGAAATACGGAATCAATTGTTCATTCTCACGCGTTTCTAATACCGCGTATTTCTAACAGACACAGAGGACCGATCGTTAATTATTCTTTATCGTAGGTCCCTGAAATCGTATCTCGTAATTTCATCGAGAAGCAACGAACCTATGATTTAATTCAGTGATTAAAAACACACCCAAAGCCTCGCCGAGGGAAACCGAAATAATCCCGCGACTATAATCCAATTTTCGTTTCGCGCAATTTTTCAGTGACGCTTTGGCATCGCCTATCGATTTTGCATTTTTTTTTTCTTTTTTCTCTCTCTCTCTCTCTCTGTTTTTAATCCTATGGCTGAGATAAATTCCTTCTTTGCGGGTGTTAAATAAAACAGGAATAAACACGTACTGAAAAAAGAAAAAAACAGAGAACAAAAATATATGCTCGGTGTACGATTGCTGACTTTACTCCACTCCCTCTCGCGAGAAGATATAAACGAGTGTGTTAGGGTATCGCGTGTGTTGCGTTCGCGACGCGTGATAAGTACGCAATATTTGTCGAGTCGTGCGGCATTTTTACACGTCGCGCGTAGTTTGACGTGACACGTTCCGCGAGCCAGAGTGATGTTGCGTGAAATAATTCTCGAGATTGCAACGCGACACGAAACGAGAAAGGCGCCGGCCGGCTCTCGGTCGAAGCCGCCGCAACAATTCGTTTCGCGCGCGTAATTAACGCGTAATTAAAAAGACAGGAGGGTGAAAAATATTAGCGTCGATGAACAGATAACCGCGATGAACGATCGATGAGACCTTAGACATCTAACTGGTTTTATTCGACGAATTATCATTGAACTCTTACAACATCGAAGATCTTCGCTGAAAATCTGTATTTAAATTGCAGAGAACGATGTGTGTTCTATCATGAGTCAAGTTACGGACATACGTATCGACAAATAATTGCTCAACAAATTTCCGCCAATCAAATCCCTGTTGCCATTGAAACGTACATCGTATTAATAGAAAGGATTATTTGAGAATTTGTAATCATATTGAATAATCATGATACAGCATAAATTCGTAAAGTGTTGCCTGTCGATCTCGATGAAAATTGTACGTAGAATTTTCCGATTATTCGGGTTAATTAATAATAGCGCGTGACAGCGTGATTAACACAGGATCCATAATGATATCTTTATGGGTGGGAATCGTTCGGTTTTCGACATCAGGCAGATATAAATGAAATTTTGATTAAACAAGCAAATTACCCTTGAAAAACAATTATCCCGTGAGATAATTAGATTAGTGAATATTAATATGCACGAGAAGGATGACTCTCCTATTGAGCAATTAATTTTACTAAAAACATTATCTAACGGATATAAATTAATTACCAAGTTCGCGAGGGACATGCAATTACAAAATGCCATAATGAAATCAATTTCACTTCTCGCGCTCCAATTCGGGTTCCAATTAATGAAAATTAATATAGTTAATATCTTTAAAATTGTTTAAGCATCGTTCTCGATGTAATATCCCCCTGTTCGTCCGAATTGGATAGTGAACGCAGCAATTTGAACTTATCAAAGCATTTTATTACGAAATTTCATGGCTCAACGATTCCATTCTCGAAAGGCGCAATTAACTTGTTTGTTTATCAGTTCCTTAGCTTCGCTTGCCTACCCTTTTGACTTGCAACTGCCCGCTTTTAATTAAATCATATTCCAGCTACGTTGCGTAACGTGAAATCGAAGGGAACGTAAAATACGATGTAAAATTTGCAACGTGTATTTCGTAACGTGCAATTTAATCCCAACGTTAATTATAGTCAATAAACGTTCGTTTAAATAAATATTCTTTCGCCGGCCGTAATTTATTAAAAAGCTTTATTAAAAAGCTTTATTCTCAACGTCCTGATTTTATATTTCACTCGCTTCCAAATTCTCCCTTGACCAAAAGATATATATTTTAACTGGTGTAACTGCCAGCACTAAATCTGAAGATTCTCGTACGTATACGTGAGTGAAAGGGAGGATGATACCGTCGATGGATGGCATCACGTTCGAGTATTCTTCGACAATAAACTCGATGAGTAATTATCGATCGGTGAAAGAGGAGCCGCGCATCGCTTGGCATGCAAGCAACACGCAAGAGATCAAAACGTTATCCTTCTCCAAGTAACGGCAAATATTTACCCCGATCCGAGTTCAAGTAGCGTGTCTCGCAGACAAATTATTTCGCCGATAAACAAGCGACTCACGGCGAAAAATAATTTCACAGTTTGTCCGATCCTTTGAAATTTTCGCTGAAAATCGTTGGAACACCGATCGACTCTACTACCGACTTCTCCCCCGATTAAATTCGCTCTTAAATATATGTAAATATATTTATAATTATATACAATTATTTAATATTTTATAATCATGTTTTTATAATTTTTATATTTAATATTTCATAATTTATAATTTTATAATTATATATAGTTATATATTTAATATTTTGTAGTTGTATTTTTATAATTTTTATATTTAATATTTTATAATTTATAATTTTGCAATTTTTATATTTAATACTTTATAATTTATAATTTTATAATTTTTATATTTAACATTTTATAATTTACAATTTTTATATTTAATACTTTATAATCTATAATTTTAT